TCACTTTTCCGCGAATGGGAAGTATGAGACAAATTAACGGTACTGAAGTCAGGGCTGTGGTCATTACAGTTATCAAAACATTAGTTATTGATTTATTTGTCTTGTCCCATCTTGAATTTCACGTAATTATGATAACACCATTTCTTCTAATTAAATAAGAGAGTATATGCACGTAAACAAGGGAGAATGAGATGAGTGCTATAATAATACTATTAGTTTTAGCCTGAATATATATGCCTCGATCTTAGCTTGTTTCGGAAAACTGAGCAAGAGGCTGTCAGTTTATTTAATTCCTGTCAGCCTCGCATCAGTGGGGCCATCACGCATAAATAGTAGCGTTAATTTTATGTTTGCATTTGCTTTCCATTAGTGTCAGCGAGATCACGTGAGGAATATAACTAATTTCGAGGCAGAGCATTTGTCCCCGATACGTGGAGCTAATAGCCAGGTGCTTCTTGAGAATTACAATTCAATTTTGACAACCATTGTGACTGTTTTGACAACATATTTTTTCTCAGCATATCACAATCTAAGTTGTCAAACCACCGCGATAGTTGTATGTTGTTAAATCAGCCACGATAGTTGTTAATCCTTACATTTTAAATTGTCAATCACTGATCTTTCAGTTATCAATACAAACTTAAAAAAGAAGAATGGTAATTTGATAATTAAACAAATAAAATTTATTGTAAAAAAGTCTCTTGGGACTTCAGAATAATTTCATGATTTCAAGAGACCTTTTTTATTTAATTTCCTTAGGTGGACCTAATTGCAATTCCCCCTTTTTCAAATGACAAGAAAGTATGTTATCTATCCGTCAATATAATGCTTCTTGCTTAAGAATGTCGGTTTAGTTTAATTCCCTGATCATATGCAATCATACAAGAGTCCAACCCATTCAAAAAAGAAGTTAAAAAACTGCCTATAAATATTTGCGTTCTTGTCGTCGGAGGTTTTACTACAATTTGCGATTTAGGAACATGCCCGGGGAATTATATATCTTCTGAAGGCTGTTGGCGTACTCATTAAATCATCAAATAAAAGCAAGACTAAGACATATATTCATAGAAATTAGTTTTAAGTTCCCCTGTCGGTTCAACAAGAAGAGGATGTTATTGAGCAGCCAGTAACAATGATGTTTCATGCAACACTTGTACAAGTGATCGTTCATCATATTTATGAGAATCAAAATTTTATTCTACTGTTCAATTCAACTCAGCATTTCCATAGAACCCACCATTGGAGAAGCTGGATGACGTCCCTTGATGAAATCAGGATAATTGACATTGACAGTACTTGAGGCGCCAGAAAAAGGAACACCAATGGGCCTACTAGCCCCTACTTGTTCCAGAGTTTGCACTTGTTTCTTTAAGAACTTCACGTAATGTATTGCTTCGTCCAGCATAGAAGCCGTGTCCATTTTCGTCCCGCCGGGAACTAATCTCTGCAGAATTCTGATCCTCTCGCTTATCCTTTCCCTTCTGTGCCTCGCCGCCACGCTCTGAGGGTCCTTCGAAATCTTCACATTCCTCCGCTTCGGTGGCTTCACTGATTCTGGGTCTATATGAATGGGCTGCATCACCGCTATCCTGAATATCATTTCCCTCATGGCCGCCATTGAATTCCTCTTGTCTGAAGCGCAGGGGAAAGTACATGGTGTGTTGGTACTATATTTATTTCTGAGCCTCGTCGGAGGAACACCGTCGGATTGAGGTTGAAGAAATGATGACGGTGCCATGGGTTGTTGAATAATTGGAGTGTTGATGAAATCAGGAGCCTCGTTAGGGTTGAGGATTGAAGGGAGAGTAGTGGCAGCAATATTACCGGACTCATCAGCTTCAGGGTAATCGGTGGGATTGTTAAAGAAAGGATCACAGAACTGATCAGCTGGAAACTTCTCCATTTGCATCATCATCGACATCATGTCCATGCCGCTGCCTTCACACCCTGAAGCTTTGTGCATGTCCACGTCCAAGATAGACATGGAGGGATGGCAGGAGGGAGGTTGGCAAAGAGGGAAAGAGAAGGAAAAGAAAGTGGAGAAGGTCGAAAGGAGCAGGGTATGGGGATAAGAGAAGCCAAGGTTTGTGATTGTATTGTATGATGAGAAGGAGAAGCAGACTGGCTGAGAGTGATAAGGGAGGAGATAGAAGAATGAATAAAATAGTGAGAAAGAGCAGAAGATTGCAGAGAGGATTATTATCTCTGAGACCGACCAACAATCTAGCAGGAGTGGGAACCCTTTTTTATAGCAACTTGCGCCTCTCTGTGTTATCTATTTGAAAGCGAAAATGGGAAAATATCTACAGGTGAACGCTCATTTATGATTGATCTCAAATTTTATTTAGTTGTCGCCGATAGAGACCGCCCAACATATGTGTAGGTTCCCCTCCTCCTTCATCGCCGATCTTATTGGCTTTGTGAAAGGTCAAAGCTCAAGGTATATAAAATCAATGGCTGAACGTCGGTGCATGAACATCAACTTCGTTTTCCTGTTGACTCACAGACAAAAGCTCTTGGCTTTGCCATCAAAATTTTCATTTTCAAAGATAAAGCCCCAAGTAGACCCACTCTCACATGACATTTGTCAGAGAAGCTTTGGAAGAGAGAAAAAATATATAACATTTATAATCTTGGCATCCAAAACACCTTGGTCACCGGCGAAAGGTGCCGCAGAGATGAGATAGAGTGAAGTGGACCCAACCCAACAACAATCAATATGAAGATATTATATAAATATAGATACAGATGAAGGAGAAGAATCCAAAAAAAGGCAAGAAGTTCGGGGTTAGATCTCAACGAATCACTGCACTCTGGGTGGGTACACTTTTCTAGAAGTGAATTGGGAGGTGGCGGTGAGAGGCGTAATTGTGGACCCTCCTTCTGCACTAATTATACTGCCGCATACCCAGTATTCTTCTTCATCTTCCCCCATTTATAACTAATCCCAATCAACTGTGCATTATTTTGCATCTTCGGAGCTTATATAAACCTGTGCGAGCTTGACACATAAGTGTCTAAACATAATAGATCAATCAAAGTAAAGTCTGAACTCTGAACCCACCCACCTTATTTCTCCTGATCGAATCCGCTTTTGTACCTAACTGATTTGTTCTGCTCGATTAAAATCCAAATCCAATGCGCTATTTGCCATGAAAAGTAGTGATACGCTGCTATATATTTATTTGTGTTTGATACGAATCCTTCTATTATTACCAAGGCCAGAGCACTACGCACTGGCTCTCGTGGATTCGTGCATTGTACTAATAATGCTCTGTTGAATGTTCAGTGTTCGGCGAACAATAATACATGTATTAGAAGAAAAGTTTAAAACCAAAGCAATGGCTTCTGGGAGGAAGGGCCGGACCCATTTGAGAGTGGAAGACAACATATGCTCCGTTTGTCCAAAAAAAAAAAAAAGGATGAACTCATGATCAAGAGAGATTTTATATCGACGGTGGGAGAGGGATCAGGATTCAGGAACGTCAAAAGAAGCAGGAGTGTTGTGATATGATAAAATAATGAAAAGAGGGGGCAAGCAGAAAAGTAGTTAATTATGCTTGCACAAAAGTGGTCCCATGCCTGTGAGGCTGTGACCTCCGTTCATTATCCAGATCATGATTTATCCGAATTTAATTGTGATTAAGAAATGGATTTACTTATTACGGCAACGGCCAAACTGGAGAAAGAGGCTTTTAGTTTATTGTGTGTCCTGTGCTTTCGTATCCTAGGGAGATCGCAGTGGGTGAAGGGACCTCTGGTAGGAGAAGAAAAGGAGACGTACAGATTGACAGTACGAAGTTAAAGGTCAGAGGAAGTGTACGAATTTCTGAAACTTTGGTGCGCAGGGACTTGTGCAAAACCTGACAGGGATTTACGAAGCAGCAGGGTCAACCCTAACAAGAGGTTGAACTGTTGAAGTGAACTTGTGGTTCCCAAATTAAGGGGGTCGTTTAAGGTTAATGAACACAAATCTTTCAGATTTGATGATTCGGGCCCCACCCTCGGCTTTGTCTTTTCCCATTTTGGTTAGGTTATGGTGCCTTTGAGCCTTTTAAAAGTAAATTAATCACATTATTGATTGAAATCTTCTCTTCTATTTCTACTCCATGCTTTTGCTTGTTTTTATTAATTGTGGTCTTTTGCTTTTGATTCTCATTAGTTTTGTTCTTTTTTTAAAGCAAGTTCTGATGAGTGATGTTGAATCAGCTTTTCATTTTTTTTTTCAAAATTATTTTTTTAAAATATTATCTTGAATGAGAATTATTTTGTTAATGATAATACCATATGATTCGGTCTTACAGGAAAACTCTTAAAAATTTCTCACACGAAAGTTTTTAGACATATTAAAATTGAATAAAAATTTTAAAAGTGAGAGGTTTTCCTTGACTTTCATATGGATCACTCATCAGATGAGAAAGTAAGCTAAAAAATCCCGATCAGCAAAGCATAATCAATAAATATTTAATGTAAAAAGCTGTTCATAAACAAAATTTACATTTTGAACTTTGCAAAAAAGAAAAACATAAACATATATCGGTAATAAAGGCTAAAGACAGGGACACATGAACTAAAAAAAAAAAAATCAAATGATTGTCTTGTAAAACATTTGCATGCGTGGCCAGAAAAAGAACTGCATAGAAATATAACTCAAAACAACCAAGAAAACACACACGCACGCACACAACTTTCATGGTGTGAAGCGGTTGAAATTATTGAAAATCTTAGGATAGGACATTGCCTGGGCAGCTAACGAATCTAAGAGCCATGCTTGCGAACTTCCAAAATGGAGCAGCATCATTTTTTTAGGTGGTTGGATATGTTTATGTGTGGAGGAATGGACGAAGTCAGAAAAGCAGTGAACCAAGTTGATTTTAACACCGGGTACTGGATAGAGCAGGCTTATGATGGAGCCAACCTTCACCTTGGGTATGGCTGAGAATTGAAGCTTCAATGCTGTCTTCGTCTTCAATATTTGACACTTGCCGTGCGGGAACCATCCGCCAGCTCAACCAATGTCCAATGACATAACGAGTAAGCAAATTGTGTGGCGCTGCCTTCGACGATTAGAATCGCAAGGATAGTAATCTGACTTCGTCCTCTGCAACAAACTTGGGTGAATTCATGTGCGCTCTCTGTTACTCTGCTCATTTCTAGACTCTAGTTTTTCATAAAAGTATTTGATATCATGGGGTTAAATTAAGTGAGTAATTCTCAATCAACGTTCACAGAGTTCAATCCATGTCATGGCCAGTTGGTGGCCTAACGTCCAGATTGAAACAAGAACAAATTACTTCAAGGCAGCTTCTCTTCTCGCTCCCTCCCTGTCTCTCGTTTGAGCAGCTTTTCCTCTCCATTCTGGTTGCTTGCGGACCAATATTAAAGAGGTGGACGGAGATAGCAATTTAGTAATTTTATGCAGTTAAGGTTTTAAATTCATGCCGCAGGAGATTCATATCTAACTGCCGTGCCAGTTCCTCTTCATGCGGCTGTCCACGGACAAGAACGAAACCCTCCTCAAGGATGAGGTGCTGCCTCCCTGGTCGGGCTCAATACTGAAACAATCTGGTTCCCCCCTCACTCCATAAAGCCCACGTTCCAAAGTTTTTACCTAAGCCGAAGTTAAAAGTGGACTATATATAATCCATCAGGAATTGCTCCGGCCAAATTGCCTGCTTACTTTTAATCATAGGATCAGTAAAACTTTTCGGGGCCCATCTAGAAGTGAAACAGACCATGGTCCTCGATATCTAAGGTAAGAGATGATCCAAGGCCATATGGGCCTGAGAATGGGCCTAATTGATGGAGTATGGGCTGAGCCTGGGACCCAGAAAATCCTGGCGGCCGACTTTATGGCATCTAGGCTGACCTTGGAGAATATGCTGCCGCCGTGACGGAGCGGTAGCGATCCAAGAAGCTATAGCTAAAAGTATATTCTGAGCACTAACCGAAAAGGAAAAGAAAGCGTAGATTCGGAGTGTGCTGGTAAAGTTGGACCATGGGGTTGGTAATCGTTGGCACCAACCTGCTTGCGATTTGGATTAGAGCAGTGTTGAGAAGAGATGGAGTTGTTAAGATTCGGCGCACTCATCGCGAGGAAAGGATTGTCTTCCAGATTTGTGAGACAACTCATCCAGTGACATTACCACGCAAGAAGCTGAATAAAAGAGTCTCTCGTATATTATATTGCAGTGCATGGTATTCATAGAATGCTTTATCGTGTGCGGCTGATCTTATAAGATGTGCCCAGCAAAGCGTTATCTTAAAATAAATAAATAAACATGTTGCATCCCCGAACCGTCCAATTAGTCCTTGAAGTGAAGTGTAACTATAAAAAAATACTACCTCCTATCCTTAATATAAGAAGAGTTAGATGATTAATTTAGAAATATTAAAAAAATTAATTAAGTTAGTTATCTGTAACAAATGTATATTGATTTTCTTAAATTACTTATATTCAATCATATATATTGAAACCAGTAGAAATACTTTACAATCAATAAGAATATTTTTCAAAACACATTATAAATTTAAAAAATAAAATAAACTGAAATCTTATATTTTAGATTTTCAAGTGTCAACTAACTCCTATATTTAATAAAAAAAAGATAGTAATGAAGTTGACAGTCCAAGTGCATGGATCCTTAATCCGAATGTGAGACGGCCTTATTGGAAAAGGATGGAGTCAGCTGGGAGAGGAGATCATAATATTTAGATTTTGATATGTGCCATTTCGCAGGAAGCTGGCCCTAAACGGGACCGGGAAGATTCAAATCTTGTGGTAGCAGGTGATGATGATATCATAGCGTCACCAGGGAAAAAGGAAAGGGGCGTGGAGGGAGAAAAGGGGTAAAACACAACCCAGGGACTGAAAAGTAAGAGGGTGGAGGTCAAATGAGAGCTGACATTGGCTGACCAGTAAACGGTTAAAGATGAGGATGAAAATAGGAAGGGAAATAATGGAGGATCAGGATCAGGAGGCGGCATGCGGTGGGAAGCCCCAGAACACGGTGAACGAACCATGAACCTGGACTCTGCTTAATTATGGTATGAAATGC